GCGTGTGTGTGTGTGTGAGTGAGTGAGTGAGTGAGTGAGTGAGTGAGTGAGTGAGTGTGTGTGTGTGTGTGTGTGTGCGTGTGCGTGTGTGCATGAGTGCGTGTGTGTGTGTGTGTGTCCGCGGTGCACATACGCGGGCGGGCTGCGATTTTGGTCGCTTTGCCGAAGGAAACAAATGTTCCGCGACAGACCGAAATCGTAAATGAGATCGCACGGTGTTTTTTATATCAACTACGTATGACACACGCGACTCGGCCATTTGTTGTGTGCGGTGTCCGCACTGCTTCGCTACGGAGTGTCCTTCTGGCCGCCGAAGGAAAAAGTGCGTTCGTGCGTGTGCGTGCGCGCGTTTGTGCGCGCGCGCTGATTGTAGAAACTCTGGCGGCCAAGATGGACGGGCGCGCCCTCTGTCTCGTTTGGCCGAACGAATCAAAGATCTCGCGGGCGAAGAGGGGGCGCATCGGACCCAACGCGACGATGAGAGAGGGGCGGGGGGGATAGCAAAGAAGAAAATAATATTGTGGATCAGGAGAAAGACTGAGTATGCTGCTACCCGTTGAGCATTGCGCTCGAAGCAGGCGTTGCGCCTCAATGGGTACATTAGGCATTACGCCCACATGAAGAGCATTACGCCCAAAGAAAATCAGCATTACGCTGAAGAAAGCAGGCGTTGCGCCTTAATCGCACCCCTGGGCATTACGCCCCTGTGAAGAGCATTACGCCCAGCGTTTTAGAGTATTACACTCATCCTCCTAGAGCCTTGCGCTCTTCTCCCCTACTGCTAAGAGCAAGGGCATTACGCCCTGCTGTGGCTCCTCCCCTATCATCCTCATCCTAAACAGGCATTGCGCCTTTGACTACACCCTGGGTATTACACCCGTTTGAAGAGCATTGCGCTCTGATCTATTTGAGTATTACACTCCAAAGTAGTGCGCCCTGCTGGTTATCCCCCTGTCGTAGCCTATCCTCCATCAGCCCGCGCGCGGGTGGCCTGCCTGTGGGCGGTGGCGGGCGGGAGTGGGGGGATCCTCCTCCTCCTTATCCTCCTGCTCCTCCTCCTCCTCCTCCTCCTCCTCCGCCTCCTGGTCGTCACTCCCATACAATAACTAAAGAGGAGGCTCCCGCCTGATAGATCCCAACAATAACTGCAGAGGAGGCTCCCGCCTGAGAGATTCTCCAAACAACTCTCTGATGCGGAGGCTCCCGCCAGAGAGGTTACTACGGCGAGGGCATTGGATAAGGAATCATTGGATAAGAAATCCAGGGTTTGGAAGCCGGCGGAGCTCCAATTGTGGATGGGCCGTGGATGTCGCCACCGCCCTCATCGGATGAGGAATCCCCCAAGGTCTAACGCCTCCTGAGCACATTCCTTAACCAACGCCCCCGACGTAATCACAGTCTCTGAGGGGGCAACTTCGCCTGAAAGGTCAAACAAAAAATAACAAGTTGTTCCTCCTTGTCCTCCTCCATCCTCTCGACTGGACTTCGTCCTGGGACTCCTGACTCCTGACTCCTCCCTCTCTCTCCTCCTCCTCCTCCGGCTGCTGCTGCTCCTCCTCCTTCACATAATGATCGTAACTCTCCTCATCATCATCGTCAACATCATCATCATCCTCATCATCATCATCATCATCATCATAGTCAGCATAACCATCATGTTCGTAATCCTCATCATCATTACCATCGTCATCATCACCATCACCAACATCAGCACTATCATCAACACAATCAGCATCACCATAGTAATCAGCAACATCCGCATCATCAGCAGTACCATTTTCATATTCATCTTCTCCGTCATCATCACCATAATGTTCGTCACCCTCGTCTTCGCCATGTCCATGAGGGTCTTGCATGCAAGGTCCCCAAAACATGTGAGGAGGAAGAGGCTCCCGCCTGAGAGGTCCCCAACAAACGTCAGGATGAAGAGGCTCCCGCCTGAGAGGTCCCCAAAAAACGCGAGGAGGAAGAGGCTCCCGCCTGAGAGGTCCCAAAGAAACGTGAGGAGGAAGAGGCTACCGCCTGAGAGGTCCCCCAAAAACGCGCAGAGGAAGATGTTCCCGCCTGAGAGGTCCTAGAAAAACTCTCTTGGGAGGAGGCTACCGCCTGATAGGTCCCAAAAAAAAAGCAAACAAGAGGAGGCTCCCGCCTGAAAAGTCCAAAAAAGCCAAGAGAAACCCAAACACCATGCCTCTCATCCCTGTAACTGTCCCCCAACAAAAACAAAAAAATCCAGAGGAGATGGCGGCCCTCGTCAATGCATCTGGGGCAACGACGTCCGTTCTCCTCTGGATTTTTTTTTTTTTTTTTTTTTTTTTTTTTTTTTTTTTTTTTTTTTTTTTTTTTTTTTTTTTTTTTTTTTTTTTTTTTTTTTTTTTTTTTTTTTTTTTTTTTTTTTGCGTTTTTTGGGGCAGTTACAAGGATGAGAGGCATGGTGTTTGGGTTTCTTTGGGTTTGGGGGGGCCTCTCAGGCGGGAGCCTCCTCCTGTTTGGTGTTTTTGGGACCTCTCAAGCGGAAGCCTCCTCCCAAGAGTGTTTTTTGGGGACCTCTCAGGCGGGAGCCTCCATTTGATTCTGTTTTTTGGGGACCTCTCAGGCGGGAGCCTCTTCCTCCTCACGTTTCTTTGGGACCTCTCAGGCGGGAGCCTCTTCCTCTTCGCGTTTTTTGGAACCTCCCAGGCGGGAGCCTCTTCCTCCTCACGTCTTTTTGGGACCTCTCAGGCGGGAGCCTCTTCCTCTTCGCGTTTTTTGGGGACCTCTCAGGCGGTAGCCTCTTCCTCTTCACGTTTTTGGGGGACCTCTCAGGCGGGAGCCTCTTCCTCTTCGCGTTTTTTGGGGGACCTCTCAGGCGAGAGCCGAGTCCTCTCGCGCTTCTTCTCCCCATCCTCCTCCTCCTCCTCCTCCTCCTCCGCCTCCTCCTCATCAACTTCCTTTTGTGTCTACGTCTTCGCATGCATGGACGACAAAGGAGAAGCAAAGAAGGAATGCGACGATAGTGAGGTAGGTCCCCAAGGGGGGGGTACCATATATATATATATATATATATATACGTCGTTATCCCCTCTCTCTCTCACCCCCTCTCTCTCTGTTTCTCGTTCCCTCCCCTGCTCTCCCACTCCTCGCTCGCTCGCCCATCCAGTTCGACTTCGACCGCGACCCCCTCCAATATCCCCACCAGCCCATCCCTTTCTCACGCCCCTCCAATAATTTGTCGTTCGCCACCCCTCCCTCTCCGTCTCCCTACCACTTCGTCCCTCTCCGTCGCCATCAAATTCGTACATGTAGGTCCGTGGTTTTTCTCACGCACTGCATCCCCCTGTTTTTAAATGTTTCGGAGTGTTGGCAGTTTGGCATCGCCCCCCTCGCCGCGCGCCCTGCGATCGACATCGGTGCCCGAACGGAGGTTCCCTCACCCCCTCCTCCCCTTCCCCTCTTCCCCTCTCTCCCCTGTCCTCTCCTCGCCTCGCGCTCCGAACCATCCTTATTATCCTCCTCCTCCTCCTTTTCGTCGTACTCGAGTGTGATTTCGGTCACACGGTAAATCTCGCTGGTGATATTCCAAGAGGGTTGACGTGTGCGAGGTATCGCAGTAGTGCCAATGCGAGTCACGCGCTCGAGCAGGAAAAACGGGGGGGGCCACCGCGCGCGGGGCGTTGGAGGAGGGGGCGACGGAGGGGGAGAACGACGGTGAAGGGCACCGATCCTGAGTAGAACATGAGGAAGTATCGAGCGGAAATGCCGATGTCGACAGCAGGGCGCGCGACCAGGTCGGATGGGGTGGGTCCTCGGTTGAAGGAGTCGGCTGAGCGCCAACTCAGCCACCCTCGCAGCCGCAGCCGCACCGCGCGCGCACTCGTGATATAGAACAGTTTGAATTCCCCGTTTTAATCCCCCGACACGGGAGCGGCACTCGGTCGTGTACTTCACGGCTGGGATGCCACGCGAAGACGCACTTGCCTAAACCTGGGTAGGAAAAAACGAAACTAACTAGAATTGGATACTACAGCATGTACATACAAGAAAAAAACATGAAACATGCAAACACAATAAAGTTAAACCGTGGATCCGTGGATCCACTTTTTAAAATGGATCCGGAAATGCATGAAAAACAACAACAGTGTTCTTGGATCCAGAAAGTGGATCCTGAGGACCTCTGGGTTACAGGGCTTCGGAACCGGCCCCCTCGCGCCGCGAGCAAGAGCCACGACGGGAGGTTTTCCAACAGCTTTCGGCCCAGGCGGGCCCTTACAGGGCTTCGGAACCGGCCCCCTCGCGCCGCGAGCAAACACTACGACGGGTTTTTTTTCCACAGCTTTCGGCCTCTGCGGGCCCTTACCAGGCTTCGGTACCGGCAGAAAACGACTCGGGATGAAGAACCGGTCCCAGGGAAGGGGTCCAGATTCGGGGATGGACAGACCTCCCTTTAGTAAAACGTGGTTTAGTGAAAACGACCTCGGGCCCAAACCTGGCGTGCGCAAGCCTGGAAAATAAAAGCCACGGCGCCCTCTCGAGAACCGAAAACGGACAATTCACTAATCGACGTGTCACTGTTGGGGGTTATGTCCACCCCCGACAGATCTCTGAGAGTCGACGCTGTGGAAAAATCACGACGTCGGGGGTCTGGGGTGGCTTCCGGTGCGCGGCTTCTGGGGGCCGCGGGTTGGCAAGACGTAGGTTTCGCTGCAGCGAACCCCCTAGGTAGTGGAGGGGACTTTGCTCACCCCCGCGGGGTAGTCGTCTACACTCTGCTCATCCCCCGCGGGCAGTCGTCTACACTTTGCTCGTCCCTCGCGGGCAGTCGACCAGATCCGAGCGCGCAAGACGCTGCTACATCGCATCGCGCCCAGGCAACCGAGGGCCCCTGTGCGCCCGCACCAGGGGCAGGTGAGCCCAGAATCGAATCGAAACGTCGGATCGGCATTCGAAATGAGTCGGATCGGCGGAAATCGGCATGCGGTTCTCGGAGCCCGACGGCGAATCGGATCGGAACCGGAAGCAGCGGAAGTCGGATCGGATCGAATCGGAGGAGTCGGAACGAGCCCTGCAGATAGGGGGCCAGATGCGAACCCTACCCCTACCCCCCACGATTTCTGAGGGGGAGGGTGGGGTTCACCTCCCTCGGGAGCTCCCGAGCAAAGTGACCCCCCCCCCCCCTCAGAAATCGTGGGGGGTAGGGGTAGGGTTCGCATCTGGCCCCCTAGCGGAGGTCGCGCTCCGACGAGGGGCCCCTCCCTGCGTGCAGCCGAGGCGGGCGGGCCTCCCGCGCCGCGGTGGCGCAGGGCCGGCGCGGCGCCCTCCGCGGGGCGTCGGGGCGCTGCACGTGGACGTGCTCAGAGGCACGTGCGGGGGGCCCTCGTCGGGAGCCGTGGGCCTGCCCGACCCAGCACTGCTTGTGTGTCGGGCGTGTCCCCCTACGGAGGGATGTGTTGACTATTCGTGGGGTATCTTGAATTTTTCGTCGAAAGTCCCCCTGTAGGGGGGCAGGCCCGACCCAACACGACTTTGATGTCGGGCGTGTCCCCCTACAGGGGGGATGTTTTTTGAATATGTTTGGGGTATCTTTTACTTTTATCGTCGAAGGTCCCCCTGTAGGGGGACAGGCCCGACCTAACACTACCTGCTGTGCACGCTCGGCGTCGGAGTCGGCACCGCCGAGGCACGCGCGAGGGGAGCCCTCTGGCCGTGGTCCCAAGCCACGGCCTCGCCGTGCAGGAAGGGCCCATCTCCCTCGACGTGTCGGCGCCCTCGACGTACGGCCCCGTTCAGCGCACGACCCTCCCTCGTCCCCTCGGTCAGAATACGGATTTTCCAGACATCCGGGCCCCGCATCTCCTCGGTCGTTTCCCCGTCACACTCCCTCGGCCAAGCCTGCAACGAGTGCTGCCTGGATTGCCAGGGTTGCGAGGCCATCAGCTTCCTTGTTCTGCTCTCGCATGGTGTGTTCATCCAATGCCCCCCTGCCCGCGCAGGTAGAGCCGCCCTCCAGAGGCACATGCGATGTAACGCCTCCTGCACTTCGGCAACCACGCCTAGAATTTCATCGGCTTGTGTCCAATTGACACCGTTTACCCAGTTCGCCATTGTTTCGTCGTCCCCATGAGTCCACTCATGTGCCTATGCTGCGTCGAACGTCCGTCGACCTGAGTCGAACTTGAGTAGAACTACGCTCGAGCTAGAGATGAACTAGAATCGAACCATGTTCGAACTATACATACTATAGTCTCGAACAGATCCATTAGATGGCCCCCGTGGAAGGTCCCCCGAACGAACATCTAAGGAAGCGGACGATGCGGCCCGCGGCCGCGGCGTCGAGCTTCAGGCGCTGGGACAGCTGGTCGGAGGAGGGCCAGTGGAGGAGGGCCAGTCGAGGCAACCCAGGCATCCAACGTATTGAAAATAATAATATGACTCTATGACGGACGTTTTTAGCCGTCGTCGTCGTCGTCGTCGTCGTCGTCGCAGTCACTGGGTCCTCCTCCTCCTCCAGCGCGCCAGCCACAGCGAAACCGAACCGAAAACCCGAAACCTCCAGCGCGCCCTCCAAAGCGAAACCAAACCTAACTTGAGCAACGTCGTAATTGACTCGAGGGGAAGCCCCTATCCTTTGATCCCTTCCCCCGGCGGGGAGGGGGCCTGGCGGGGTAGGGGGCCCGGGCGGAGGTGGAGGGAGGGGGTCCCGCCGGGTCAGAATGCCATCATTCCCCGGGGGGTCCTAGGGCCCCAAAAAACACCCAAACAGCCGAAGAGGCCCCAAGACGGTCCAAGAGGGCCCCGAATCGCCGAACGGTCGGTCCAAGACGCCAGAGATGGCCTCCTCACAGCCCAAGCGGCTGCCTAGACGCTCGAAGAGGCCCCCAAGAGTACAACAAGAGGGCCCCAACAGGCAAAAATCAATCATGTTCCGTAGATGTTTGACAGATGCTGGCGTTCTCACCTTTTCAGCTTCCTGGCGCTCCAAGACGGCCCAAGGCACCACCAAGATCGGCACAAGAGGCCCCCAAGAGGTTCCCAAGACGGCCATAAAACGACACAAGAGGACCCCACAACGATTCCAGAAGCCTCCCAGACGGCCACAGAGGCCCCCAAAACGGCTCCAAGAGGGTGCCCACGCGGGAGCCCGAACGAACATTTCCAGACCTCGGTCCCGAGAAGCTTCCAGGAGGCCCCAAGTGGCACCCAAGAGGCTCCCACGAGGCCGCAAGAGGCCCACGAGGTCCCCAGGAAGCCCGAAGAGACCCACAAGCGGCTCCCAAGAGGTCCCAAAGATGCTCCCAAGAGGCCCCCAAACTGCCCCCCAGAAGCCTACGAGCGCGCTCCGACGAGGCCCCACGAAGCATCCCTTTTTTCCTTTCGCTTCTGCTTGGGCGTGCCAACCCATCCGTTAACGATGCCTGTTTGAGCGTGCCGGCCCATCCGCTATCGATGCTTCTTTGGGCGTGCCAGCCCGTTCGCTATCGATGTCTGTGTCTTGCAGGACGCGCTGGTTTGACTGTTCACAGCTGACTCGTTTGATCCAAACAGAGAGGGTGGTCCAAGCCCCACGAAGCATCCCTGGGGACTCTGGACCACGTCAGCGTCGCCGTCGCCGCCGACGCCGCCGTCGTCGTCGTCCGTCGTCGTCCGCCGCCGCCGCCGCCGCCGCCGCCGTCGTCGTCGTCGTCGTCGTCGTCGTCGTCGTCGTCGTCGTCGTCGTCGTCGTCGTCGTCGTCGTCGTCAGGGTCGGCAGCACCGGCCGTAAGGCCTTCCCAATAAAGACTGACGCTTTCTCGCCGTTTTCGGCCCCTGGGGTCCCTCGCCGAGCCCCGGGGCTGTCACAAACGACTCAGGACGAAAAGCTGGCCTTGGGGAAAGAGTCGGGACCTCCTCCTCCTCCTCCTCCTCCTCCTCCTCCTCCTCCTCCTCCTCCTCCTCTCTGCTCTCTCCTCTCTCCTCTCTCCTCTCTCCTCTCTCCTCTCTCCTCCTCCTCCTCCTCCTCCTCCTCCTCCTCCTCCTCCTAAGATAGCGACGCATATTGGATGCCTGGCACCGGCGGCCCTGCGCCCTGGCGGTCTTGCTTGCCCTTTTCTTGAGGGACAGGCCTGGCTTCTCGTCGCCACGGCCAAATCCTCCCCGAGAGCATGGCCAAGAGGGGCCCCGGGAGGGGTCCAGGGGCTGACCTTCAGCGCGATCTGAGATGTAAAGGGGCCCAGGGACACACAAATAAATGAGCACAGATCCCAGAATTCACATTTTTTTAAATATTTTCGGGGTTTTCGTCTTCCCCCCACTTCCCACATTTTCCCATACTTTTCTTGGGGTCGCCGATGAATTGCGTCTGTGTTCTTCCCCCTCCTGAAGTTGGCCCGTGCGGGGCAGCCGCCGCTGGCTCGACTGGCTCTCCTCCGAGCTGGTCGCACGGGCAGGCATCCATGCCGCAGTCCCACGCGATGCTCGGGCTGGGCGAAAGGGGGGGATAGCAAAGGGGGGTTTGAGAATCAGCTCGCGTAGCTGATTTTCCCGGCGCCTCCCGGCGCCGGAGGCGGCTACATATCGAGGACTGGGCCCCTCGGTGGGGCCGAAACCAGCTGCACGCAGCAGATTTCGTAACCCCCCCTTTCCCAATCCCCCACTTTCGTCCGGCCCGAGATGCTCATGGAGCAGCAGTGGAACAGCAGGAGCTCACGTAGGAGTCCCGACGCGGCCTGGAAATCCACGTCTGCCCCGGCCCCGCGGAATATCGCGCAGTCCAGCTCCCCGTCCGGGTTGCTCAGGACCTCCACGCACGCGTCCGTCTCGTACTCCAGCTGGCGGAGGTCGCTCTCGAACGCCTGCCGCTCGCTGGCCGACATGGCCGCCAGCACGCCGTCGCTGATGGTTACCGCGAAGATGCGTTCCTCCTCCTCGCAGCACTGGCGGTGGTGCCTGGCCAGGCCGCAGAGGTCGAGTTGTACGCAGGTGCGCCCGACGCAGGCACCGCGGAGGCCGTAGAACTCCAGCACCTGGCCGAGCAGGTCCTGCGCACCCGCCAGCGCGCCCAAGGCACCTCGCAGCGCCACGGCGTCCTCGCCCTCGACGCCGCCCTGGGTCAACTCCGCGCTGATCCCCGCCTCCGGAGGAGAGCCAACTTGGGCCACCTTGGACGCTGCGACACCTCGCGGACCCCCCTGTCCAGGTCCATGGGGAGGGGTATGGGGGAGGGGTAAACCCCTCCCCGAAGGGGAAGAAGGAGGGGTGGAAGAGGAAACTCCCTAAACCACCGACGCCCAGAGGGCTGGTGGGATTAGACATGAACGTTCGGAAGTCCTCTCCAGTTTCGAAGATCGGCGCTGGGCCCCCTCTCCCTTTCTCAACGGCACCAACCTGGTCAGGAACCCCTGTGCGGGAGCTTCGACAAACCAAGATGCTGGCGCGCCCAAGGAAACTGCCACCGTGAGTGCAAACATTCACCATGGCTCGTGTTTCCCCAAGTGGATTTGTCAAACTCCTGGTTTGCACTGTCCTGTTTTAGAGGGCCCCCAACGTGAACTTTCGGAGGTCCGCGCGGAGCTCTGGAAACCTACGGTCAGGAACTCCTGCTGTGCATGTGGCGGCGGCGGCCCCGGCGACGCGCTATGCCTTGCAAGTGGATAGCGTGTCGCTTCGCTTCGTGGGGCGGGAGGCTGGGGAGAGCTCGGGACCTTGATGCTCGGGGACCGGGCACTGGTTAGCGTGCCGCGCCGAAGCGCGGTGGGCCAGAACCGGCGGCGCGACACACGAATCTCAAGCTCCTGACCGTGCAAATGCTTGTGCCGATTGCTGCTCCTCCGGCCTCCCTGCCCAGCTCCGCCAAGTCACCCCGCAAGCTCTCCACTGCGTCGGGGGCCATCCCCCGCACCTGCCGGCAACGCGCAAGAGTGCGACCCGAACACCTGTGGTGCGCGGCCCCAGGGAGGCACGTGGAGAGGGGGGGGGGGGGCAATCTTGGCGCTCAGGCCAGTGTTGAGGGGACCTGAGGGGGAACGATAGGAGGGGGGGGCCGGCTCAGGGAAGCATCGACATGGAATCGGCGATGCATCGCCGGCTGATCGCCGATAGGCGCCCGATAAGAAACGCGCGTGCTCCTGGGCGGGATGGGTTATCGTGCCCCTTGTGGAGATCACGGGGCGATGGGGGCTCAAATCATCTACCCTTAGAGGAAGAGGAGAAGGAAGAGGAGGAGGAGCAGAAAAACGAGGAGGAGGAGGAGGAAGGGGAGGAGTTTTAAACCCGCGTGTTCCCGCCCGCGAGTGGGTGCCCCTGGTCTCGTCACTCCGCGCGGGCCGAAGGGCCCGAGGCGGGGTGGGCCAGCGGCCTCATCTCACGGCGTCTTACTGCCGCCACTCTTTGACTCATGGAGTCGCCCCGAGAGCAGCGGCAGTCTGAAGAAATGCTGCCGCTGCCCACTCAGAGCTTGAGGAGCAGCCTGATGGACGGCCGCAGCCGCTCCTCCGCTCTGCGCTCTTCCAGGGACCGCCCTGGCTGCTGGTCCCTGGACTCATGGGCCTTCTCGATCGCCCTGCCTGGCGCAGAGCTGTGGCCTAACCCCTCGCCACGCTGGGGCGCGTTGCGGCCTAACCCCTCGCCGCGCAGGGGTCCTCCGTGGCCTAACCCCTCGCCGCGCTGGGGGTCGGTGCGGTCTAACCCCTCACCGCGCTGGGGATACTCGTGGCCTAACCCCTCGCCACGCTGGGGGCTGCTGCGGTCTAACCCCTCACCGCGCTGGGGCGCTCCGTGGCCTAACCCCTCGCCACGCAGGGGCCTGTTGCGGTCTAACCCCTCACCGCGCTGGGGTGCTCCGTGGTGGCCTAACCCCTCGCCACGCTGGGGTCTGTTGCGGTCTAACCCCTCACCGCGCTGGGGCCCATCGTGGCTTGACCCTTCGCCACACTGGGGGTCAATGCGGTCTGACCCCTCACCGCGCTGGGGAATGCCGTGGCCTAACCCCTCGCCACGCTGGGGGCTGCTGCGGTCTAACCCCTCACCGCGCTGGGGTGCTTCGTGGCCTAGCCCCTCGCCACGCAGGGGCCTGTTGCGGTCTAACCCCTCACCGCGCTGGGGTCCCTTGTGGCCTAACCCCTCGCCACGCGGGGGCCTGCTGCTGTCTGTCCCCTCTCCACTGTGGGGTCCTCCGTGGCCTAACCCCTCGCCACGCTGGGGATCGTTGCGGTCTAACCCCTCACCGCGCCGGGGTACTCCGTGGCCTAACCCCTCACCACGCTGGGGCCTGCTGCGGTCTAACCCCTCACCGCGCGGGGGTACGCCGCGTCTTGCGCTGTCCCCATCCTCGGTGCTGCTGCCCCCTGGCTCGGGCGGGGCCCCGCGACTTTGCCACTCGCTGTGTTCGCGGTTCACGTGGTATCCGCGGGCCGTGCCCTCCCCCTCGCGTTCAGACTGTCGGTTTCCCAGGGTTTGGGTCCGCTCTGTTAGTTGCGAGGTCCTGTCTACCACACTGTTGGTCAAAAGGTCCGCGTTTTGCTCATTGGGCACGTCATAGGCTTCCGCCTCAAGCCTCTGCTTGCCTTTGGTCCTGCGGCCTGCCCCCTCATCGCGCAGGGGATTTCCGTGGCCTAACCCCTCGCCACGCAGGGGTGCCTTGCGGTCTACCCCCTCACCGCGCTGGGGTGGGTCGCCGACGATCTTGTTCAAGTCCCGCTACGGGTCTGTATCGTCGTAGTCTGCCGCCTTCTCAGGCTGCGCTGTTTTGTGGCCTAACCCCTCGCCGCGCGGGGGATCGCCGAGTCTCGTACTGTCCCCATCCTCGGTGCTGCTGCACTCTGGCTGAGGCGAGGTCCCCCGACTATGCCTCTCGCTGTGTTCGCGGTTCACGTGGTATCCGCGGGCCAAGCCCTCCCCCTCGCGTTCAGTCTGTCGGTTTCCCAGGGTATGGGTCCGCTCTGTTAGTTGCGAGGTCCTGTCTACCACACTGTTGGTCAAGACGTCCGCGTCATGCTCACTGGGCTCGTCAGGGACCTCCGCCTCGATCCTCTGCTTGTCTTTGGATCTGCGGTCTAACCCCTCACCGCGCAGGGGTCCTCCGTGGCCTAACCCCTCGCCACGCTGGGGTCCTCTGCGGTCTGCCAGGTGGTACCCTATGCTGTGCTGTGCATCTGGGAACTGCTGGTGGTTGTCATCGCTGCACTGCTTGTCTTCGTCCTGCTGGGGGCTGTCCTCTCTGTTCTCCTCTTCAGGGAAGTGGTCGAGGTCTGCCGTGTCCTTGGTGCTGCGTCCTGCTGGTGGGGGACGGGCACCCCTCTGCATCCCGTCTGGCGCAGGGCTGTGGCCTAACCCCTCGCCACGCTGGGGTCCTCCTCGGCCTAACCCCTCGCCGCGCAGGGGTCCTTGGTGGCCTGTCCCCTCTCCGCACAGGGGCCTCCTCGGCTGTGTGGCTGGAGCCCTGGTTGGCACTCGCCCTGCTGCTTGTGGTCGCGGGCTGCGGCTCCTCACTTCTGGCTCAGTCACGCCCAGGATCTGCTCGGCCGTTGCTCTGCGCCGCTCTGCCTCCTTCGGGTCCTGCTGCTGGATCTGTCTACGCTCCTCTCCAGTGTTGAGCCATGCCAGGCGGCAGATCTCCTCCGCCGCTCGACGCTGGCTGCGCTGGCGGCTCGTCCCTGACACGTGGCTGAAAAGCCTCTGATAGACTCCAGTCTGCAGCGCCCTCATCACATGGGGCACGCACGCGGCCTGCCACGATGGCCAGCCCAGCTCGCCCTCTTTCTGGCTCCAACTGCCTGCCAGCGACTGCATGAGCTGCTCGAGCCTGTTCCTCTCGAGCCACGCCACCTCCTGCTCGGGGTCCTGGTCGGCTTCTCCTTTGTTGTGTCGAAGCCTTGGGTGGAGCAAGCCGGCCTCGTCAGCTTCGCTCACGAACTTCATCAGGTCGGGCCCCACTGGCTTGGTCAGCGTAACTGCCACCTGCACTGCCGTCTGCATCAGGTTGTTGGCGTCGTGCCTCTGATCAGGTCCCACCATGGTCTCCATCTCCTGGCTGCTCGGCTCACCCTCCAGCTCTGGGGCTTCACTGTCTGGGGTCGAGTCATCCTCGTCCAGGTTCTCTGGTGACCACTCTCGGCTGGCCTCCGCTGTTCTCGGCAGCGGCCTGCGCTCACTGCTGGGGATGCTGTGCGCTATGATGTTGTTCCTTCTGTCGTGGAAGGCGTCCATGTGCACTCTAGCTGCCTGCTGCCATGTGCCATGCGGGAGGGTAAGCATCCTGGTCATGAGCCTCCGTCGCGTGCGGTGCGTGTTGCGCCAGACTTCTTCGCAGAAGTCCTTCATCTGCTGGATCTCCTGCACGGTGACGGCCCTGGTCTGCTCTTGCGTGTCCGTTCTGCCACCCACATTGGTGATGGCCAAGAGGTACGGTACGCAGTGCTCCATCCAGTCGTCCATGTCGTCCCAGACCTCTTGGTCGACCATGTTCATCCACAGCTCTGCATAGCCCTCCATGTGGTCGACGAGCCTCAAGCTGGCGTGGACGACAGAGTACGGATGGCTGGGCGGCTGCTGCGGAGCTGGCTGCGGGCCCCCTGCCTCTGAGCTGTCCCCGTCCAGATCGATCACCTCGTGGTTGCCCAGGCCGAGCTTGAAGCCACCTGGCATGGTGATCTCGTCGAGACCCTCATCAGCTGGGTCTGCTGCTGGCTTAGCTCCTCTAGGCAGCTTGCCCCTCTGCATATTCTCCAAGACTCGCCTCCCTGCTGCTGTTGGGGGCTGACATGGCCTTGCCAGCTTCCTTGCCACTCCTGCCACGATCCTGCTCTTGTGGTCCCCAAGGTAGCTAGTGCCGCCACATTTCTCGCACCAGAGCCAGCCATGGGTGTACTGCGTCTTGTGGGAGCCGTGCACCACCTGCGTGCCGATCTGCACCGCCTTGAAGTCGAGCCTGACGTTGCCGTGCTGGTCCTGGTGGCCGCCGTACTTCCCGAGGCATTTTCCCGTCTCTGCCAACCAGTCTCTGATGCTTTGTCCTTTGGCTGGGCCACTGCGGCACGTTGCACACCACCATCGCGGATGTAGTTTTCGCAGGTCGTGTCCCTGCTGGGCTGCCCTGTCCCTCGCCGTCTGCGGCTTTCGCCGCTTGGCTTTGGGACGCTGAGGGGCCTTGTTGGGGTCCTCCACCATCACCGCCATGTTGATGGCCAGCAGCCTGTTCTGCACCGCCATGGTGATCTGGTCTCTGATCTGCTGCTGCACGATGATAGCTGGATCCAGTGCTCCGCGCTCCGCCCCCCAGCCTGCGTACTTATCCGCCATCTCGTTACCTATGACCCACCAGGTGGGACCATTCCACCTCTCCAGCTCTGTTGGGTGCTCAATTAGGTGGCTCGGGATGTGGTGGCCCATGATGGTGTCCTTGCTGTTCTGTAGCTGCTGCTTCGTCTGGAGCCAGAGGTCGTAGTTCGTGCTCCTGTAGTCCAGATCCTCAGGGTCCTGGATCTGCTTGAGTGCGTCCAGGGCGTATTTGCAATCGCTGACTATGTTTAGCCCCCTGGCTGTCGCCGCCGTGGTGTAGCCGATGGCTTTGCTCATGGCGGTGAGCTCTGCCCGTGGCACCGTGTGCGGTGCCCTGATTGTGCCGTACCAGGCAGCCACTTCCTGCGGACGACCTTGTTCGTCGAACCTGAATGCCACCACTGCCCAGCCGCAGCGTCTGAGGCGGGGGTCCCTGGCCGTTTCCCCTGCACCACCTGAGCCGTCCGTAAAAACATAGTCTGCTCGCACCTTGTGCCCTGACTGGGCTGCAGCTTGTGCCTCTTCACTGGTGCAGAAGATCTGCGCCGCCTTCGCCGCGTCCTCGTCTGGGTCGACCTTGGCTGCCCAGGCCGCTGGCGGGATGCCTCGGAGCCAGAAATGCAGGTCCTGCCGCTGGTCCAGCGCGTCCTTCGCCTTCTTCGCCAGGTCGGTGTCATTGCTGTGCCCTATTTCTGCGTTGGCAGGGCAGGCGTAGTAGCGGTGTTCCTCTGTCTCTATCGCCTCGCCGCATCTCGCGCAGGTGTCATCGCCTTCTTGGTTGAGGTTGGCCGCCCTGCGACGCTCCCTGGCCCAGATGCCTGCCACCGCTATGGTCTCCAGCATTGCTGCCTCTGCATGCTGTCCTTTACGCCTCCTTCTTCTCAGGTGGCGCTGCAGCTGATAGAGGTCGCCTCCAGCCTGAAGCCCTTCTCCACTGCGATGACCAGCTGCCTGCTGCCAGAGCTGCTGCTGCGCGCTCTGCTGGACCTCATGCAGGAGCGCGCCGAAGTGGGGAATGTCATCTGGCTTGTAGGCCCACTCGTCACCTGCTGGGCTGATCCAGCTGTCCAGGCGTCGCGGTATCCAGCCTAACCCAAGCAACTGCACAATGACCCCTGCCATGGGCCCCTTGACCTGCTGCCACCTGCGGTTGGGTTCCAGGGCGCCCAGCTTGGCGTAGAGCAGGAGCCAGCCCCTCTGGTACCTCTTGAGCTCCGTCGGGTGGTCGACTACGGTGAGCCAGAACTGCTTGATCTGGTCGCCGATGGCTCGGGTTACAGCCTCTTGCATACCCCTTCTGGATCAGGAGGATGGTGGACGTGCAGCGTCCAGACTTGTGTCCGCCTGTGAGGAGCGCTGCCTCCGTTGCCCTGACCAACTTCGCCTCCGTGGGCGTGATGCCGTGCGCTGGTAAGTCCCAAGCCTGCTGGCAGTAGGCACCTGCAGCATAGACCTTTGCCGCACCTCTGGCGTCCGTCTTCGCCAGGTCCCTGAGCTTGGCCACCCTCTGCTTGGCCTTGGCCTGGCGCGCGGCATGGGTGGGTCGCCGCAGTTGCTTCCCAAGGCTGGTGTCCACGCCGAGGTCGCGCACTACCCCTGGCTGCTTGTTGGGGGTGCCCAGGCTGTCCAGGATGCTGGCGACTTCTGCCTGGAGGTCCTTGTCCGAGGCCACCACTGCCGTCTTGACTGAGATGGGGATCGCGAGCTGCTTGAAACCATCGTGCACCAGCGCCGCCACGTGCTTGATCTGGTCAATGACCTGCCGCCGCGCGCCCTCCACCTGCAGGGCCAAGTCGTCCAGGTACTGCTGCATGACGACGAAGATATGGTGCCTGTGCGCTGCATCCAGGATACCATACAAGAGCGGTCTGGTGAGGTCTACCGCTTGGCCACAGCCTGCTACCATGCTGTTGGCAGGCTCAAAGATGTCCGAGAAGAGGCTGTGGGCCATGATGGCCCTGGGCGCAAGGTACATCTGCACGGCCATTGCCAGCGGCAGCAACGGGTACTGGAGGGCACTGGCCTTCTCGATCAGCTGGTCGAGGCCTATGTTGTCGTAGAAGTTTGCCGCGTCGTAGAACACTCCTGCTGCATGAAAGCCCATCTCCGTGGCGGCTTCTGCCCTCATAAGTCTGTGCATTGCCACTCGTAGCGCTGAGGAGCCAGTTACTGCCGTATCCCAGAAGCCCGCCGCTGCCTTGCTCCAGGTGGCTACTATGGGCCTCCTGGCTGCGCTCCAGATGCGGCACGGCATGGGCATGAGGCCGATGGGGCGCTCTCCCCCGATCCCTGGCTTCTTACCCAGCAGCAGCTCCAGCACCAGGTAGAATTGCCACGGCCAGGCTGCCCGTTGCTCACAGCTGGTCAGGCACTGCACGAAATCTTCCAGCCCCTGGGCTCCCATGGCCTTGAGCTCTGGAGCCCTCCACCAGTCCGCTCCTTGGCCTGCATTGCTCTTCAGGTGCTGGATGATGGAGCCTATGATGTCCTTGCTGATGGGCTCGAGGGCATTCTCTTGGGCCAGGGCAGCCTGCCTCAGCTTGGCCAGCGCCTCTTGGATCCTCTCGGCCTTCTGCGCATCTCGTGTCCACCTGCGTTGCCATGCTTCTTTGCGCAAGTCCACCAGCTGCTGCGGGTGGTTGATGACCTGGCCCTCGTGCTCTAGGATGTCCTCCAGATGGCTGCGCTCTGCTGCTTTGGTGTAGGCGTGGGCCATCTTCGCACTGCCAGCCGTGGCGTCATGCACCCAGTGGATGTACGCCTTCTTCACCGCCTTTGTGAGTAGCTTGGCCATGCTCTTTACCTCCTCTGCTACCCTGCTGATCGTCCCTGGGTCCACGAGGGCGCCCTCTGCTATGGCGTGCAGGTCTGCGAGGAGGGCCTGCTGCTGGTCCTTGGCTGCACCTTCATCGTTCAGCCTGCCTGGGTCAGGCTGGTTGAGCTGCTGCGCTAGCTGCTGTCTTGTGTTGATCTGCTGCTGCGTCTGACGGCCACTGTGGGTGCGGACCTGCTGCTCTCGGCGGCTACTCTGGCCACTGCCTGTACCTGGAGCATCATGTAGTTGTCTTCGCGCTGCTCCTTCTGGTGCTCTTCCGCCTATGACTTCTCGCATGAACCTCCGCAGGTTTGCGAGCTCCCTCCAGTGCATCATTTCCAATTCGTGCCTCCTCGTCGGCACCTCTCGCGCAAGTCCTTGGAGAAAGCCTCGGCGTCGTGGTTCTGCATGTCTCCATGCTCGCTCGCAGAGGTCCCTGATGATGTGGCTGAGGCCGGCCTGCTGGTACCAACGTCTGAGCAGTCTCACCATGCCATTGTTGCCTCCGCCTCCCAGGATGGTCTTCAGGAACGGCACGCAGATCTGCATCCAGTTGCTGTTGTCCGTGGGGAGCTGCGCCAAGTTATCCATCCAAATGGCCGCCCAGTACTCCAGGTCGTCTCTCATGGCCACGTAGTCTTCCCGCTCCCGCTGGTGTTGGTCGTCATTCCAGGGGTCTGTAGGGGGCAGGCCCATATCTCGTTGCTCATCTGCCTCTGGGCTTGGCGGCGCTTGGTTCTGACTCCTCAGGTGATCGGTACCCTCTGCCTCCAGAGTGCCAGCTGGCTGGGGAGGTGAGCAGTGCGTGTCACCTGGGGCGGTTTCACCAGATCCAGCTGCCTGGCGACGTGCGGTCTGGCCGTAGCCATTTCCATCCAGCTGCCCCTCGATACGCTGGTGGTACCCATCGCAGTCCTCCTGGTCTGCGGTCTCCTGGCGGTTCTGGAAGCGGTCCTCCTCTTCCTCGAGGGGGTCGTGGTCTTGGTCGTCCATGGTGCTGCGTCCTGCTGGTGGGTGAGAATCAGGTCCAGCTGCTCGGCGGCGAGCGGTCTGGCTGGACTCGAGGCTGGCCTGCTGCCCCTCGATGTATTGGTGGTACACATCGCTGTTTTCCTGGTCTGCGATCTCCTGGCGGTACTCCAAGTACTCCTCCTCATCCTCGAAGGGGTCGTGCTCTTGGATGTCCATGGTGTTGCGCCCTGCTGGTGGGGGAAGGGCACCCCTCTGCATCCCTTCTGGGCAACTGTCTGCGGTGCTGTGGGTATGCCCCACGTGGAGGTCTGGGGCGCCTCCTGCTGCGCCTCCACTGCCTGCGCTCCGCTGCTGCAGCTCGGGGGGGCCCTTGCCCCGCTCGGTGGGGGAGCGTTCCACCGAGCTTCCTCCCGAGCTCTTCGATGGGCTCAAGGCTGGTGCAGGGTCGCCTTCTTCGTGGCCTTCCTGGCTGCCCGAAATGACGGGGCCAAGCTCCAGCTCCAACGGGCCCTGTCCTCCTCCCGAGTCCTCATCGGGACGTGCTTGGGTCTTGCCCTGTCGACTTGCCGCTGCCTCCTGCGCTCGGGCGTCGTGGTGCGAGAGCTGCCGCACCAAGGAGGAGATCTCCGCCCACCACGCATGGATCTTCCTTTCAACCCCTGCCCATGGCGTAGAGGTGACGGTGTCCTTGATGCTCACGCTCTTGTAGCTCGGGGGCCTGCTGTGCCCGAGATGACGTCCTCGATCTTCCTCTGGGATGCCGATGCTCTCGCACAGGCTGAGCTCGAGTGTGCTAGCGAAGTGGTCGTACTGTTGCCCCAGATCCAGCATGTCCCGCTCCATCATCTTGCCGACGACAGTGCGCTGCAAGTGCTGGGGCAACTCGTCGTAGACACGCAAGCTGACCCTCTCGGAGGTGGCCTGCCACAGCTCGTCAGGGATGACGTGCTGGACCTCCTTGTCGTAGTACAGCTGCGGCACTGGCTCCATGTCATTTCCTTCCTGGTCGCATCCTGCCTCTGCCAGCGCTTGCTGACGTCGGCGCATGGCCTCCTGGCCTCCTCGCGCCGCTCGCCTGCAAGCGGCTCTGGACTTCGGCATTCTCTCAACTGCGACTGGTGGCTTTATGGCTGCTGGCCTGCGAAGTACCCTGCCCTTGAGCTTTAGAGGCCGCCCTCTCAGCTTCAAGCGGATGCCAATGTGCGGCTTCCACGGCACGGTCCTGAGCAGCTCCAGCTGGTCAAAATACGGCGCCAGGCCCTGCGAGATCAGCGCGAAATCGATGCACCTGGCTTCTCCTCCTGCTGGGAAGCACGTGGGGGCGCCATCCTCCGCCGCTGCTACTTGGGCATTCAGCACCCTGGGCCAGATGCTGTTGTTGAGCTCCGACGGCGTCATGTTGAAATCCCCAAGCGCTGCCCATGGCCCTCCCCAGACGGCCATCTTTTCCCGCAGGTCGCAGAGGATGTCGACGTTCCTCTCTCCGAAGCCCGTCCCACACTCGAGGTATACGAAGGCCACTGCGAAGCGGACCTTGTGCAGGTTGGAGATCACCACCGTGACGTCGCTGCCGTCCTCGTGCAGGTAGTGCTCGTCGAAGCCCGCGATCCTGTCCTGGACGTCCAAGGATCCTCGCGTTATGGCACACGTTCCTCCACGAGTGCCTTCTCCTTCTCCTGGCCGTGCCTTGGTCCAGTAGCTGTGCATGCCTTTCCTCCTGAGCGCCGCTCTTGCCTTGCCTATCTGCGCAGGCTGGCGGAGGTGGTGCTCCGCGATGCCGATGATGTCCCTGTCCTTGGTGTCGTTGATCTCCACGAGGTAGCCCTGTGCCTGGGGGCCCCAGGTCGTGACATTGAAGAAGTCGATGTGGCAAGGGCGGCGAGCCTTCTTCGTGCTCGCCTTGGGGCGGCTACCCTGCTGAGTGGTCACCTTGCCCTTCTGCGTCGACGACTGTCTCGGCGCGCCTGGCCTGCGAGACCTTCTCTCGCGCCTCCTGGATGTGGGCCTCCACTCTAGCTCGGCGTTCCTCTGCTTTGTCATGTTCTGCTGCACCTGCTTCTGGTTGGGCAGCTGCCGCGGCGCCGTTAGGCGCAGCCGCAGCAGCTGACCCTGCTGCCTCAGCGCCTGTGGTGGCTCCTCGCTGAGGGGCTGGGCTGGCAGCGCAGACACGCTTGCCTGGTGGGGCATCTGCTGCTTCTGGGTCTTGCTCTCCGCTCTTTGACAGGCGCTTGGTGCGGGCCTGCTCGAGCTGGCGCAGCTGCTCCTGGTGCCTGGCCGTCTCTTCCTCCAGAAGTCGCAGGTGCTTCGCCGTCTCCTCCTCGTGCTCCTTGACCGTCTGGGCCATGCGCTCACCCTTGGCCTTTGCAGCTCGCCAGACCTCCTTGTCTGGCTCGGACCACTTGTGGAAGTCGTCAGGCTCGTGCTCGAACTGCTCCAGGAGGGCCGCCAGCGTTGGCTTCTCGGCTGCGGGTTCGGCTGGTACCTCTTGCTTGCCGACTGTGGCCTTGAGCTTGTCGAACTCATCTTCTGCTGCAATGGATGCTTCCATAGCTTCACGAAGCTTGCGTTCGCTCTCAGCCAAGTACTGCTGGGCACTCTCCACTTGCTCCCCTGCCGATCGTACCTTCTTCTGGAGTTTGTCCAAGCGTCGAGCTGCTGCCTCCACTGCCTTGAATCCAACGACTGGTTGATCTGCTGGTGGCTTGGCTGCGGCGAGCTCTGGCCAGAGGGCCTCGTAGTGCTGCTTGAGCGGGTCGTCCTTGCTGAGCTTGCCGTATGCTGCTGCAGCTGCGGCCTTGAGGTCGGCGGTCTTGTCGCGAGGTGGTGGCTGGCGTTGGCCTCCTTGCCCTTTCCCGCCTGCACCGCCTCCTGGCTGCCAGCCATCTGCCCAGCTGATCCTGGGCGAGGTTCCTCCTCGGGGCTGTGCTGCCACCCACCCACCATCCTCGTCACGGAAGACGTGTCCGTCAGGGGCGAGGCAGGCGAGATTCTTGCCGCAGATGCAGAGGTCGCCCCTGCTGGTGATGTTCTTGCAGTAGCGCCATCTGCTGCGCCCGTCGCACACCGCGTAGCTGCTGCGAGGAGGGCGACTGCCACTGCTGCTCCTCTTCCACGGGGGCACTCTCTGGCGATTCGGGGTCCCCGACCAGGCGCTGCCCGCCCCGCGTCCGCCGCTGCCACTCCCCATGGCTGCAGCAGTGCCGCGCGCAAGCCCGACGCCCGTCTGGGAACTGTCCTCGGTCCAGAGGCCCCCCTTCGGCCTGGAGGCTGGACAGCCCCCCAGGTCGCCATCTTGAGCCAAAATGGCTACGGAGGAGGAAGGGGAGGAGGAGGAGGAGGAGGAGGAGGAGGAGGAAGAGGAGGAGAGGAGGAGGAGGAGGACAGGACAGGACAGGACATCCGCATGAAGGGGTCAACGTCAATGCGCCCGCTCAGGCGCAGTGTAGAATGTATGCGTAATTCACCTGCGTGCGTGTTACGCAGCAAGGACTCGACGGCCCTTCGACATCTTACCGAGGGAACTGCTAAGGCCTGCGCAAAAACGTGCACGCTGCCATCCACACCCCAAGCCCTCACGCCCCCCCCTCCTCCACCACGGGCGAGCGCGCGGTCCGTTCGCAGGTAGCCCCGTACTACCAGCCAGTAGCTCCCCGATGAAACCAAGGGGTGCGGCGCCGCTGGCACTGCGCTGCCAATGGCGCGTGCGAGCGGGCCTGCACAAGAAGGAAGGTTCCCAGAGCCCCTTTTAACTCGCGAACCAAATTCCTCTCTGCATCCCACGGAGAAGGGGACCGAAGAAGAGAAGAGAGGGGGGCACCGTGCACTCCGAGATGCTCTCGCAAGTGCGATCGGCGATCCCTGCGCCAAGACAGACGCTTTCACCCGCGCCAAATGCGCTCATAACTGCACGGCCCCTGCTCTTGTTGACTTCACCTCGCGCCGGCTCGCCTGTCACTTCGCTTCGTCTTGTCGTCTTCTGCAAGGCCGCGCTCAAGAATTCAGAAAATCTGGGAAAACATGCGGCGCGTGCCGAAGATTCGCACGACATCTCAGCCCAAAGAAGTAAATGGCTGCGCGTGCGTATTTGTCTCCAACTCACGTGTGCAAATTGGCCTGCGCTTTAATCCTCACGCGGCAGCAGTTGCGTAGTTGTCTCCCAATCTGGCCAAAACTCCCACGCTTTCCTATTCCGAGAGAGCGCATTCCACTGCTGGTAAAATACGGACTGCGCCGCCGTTTGCCAACTGGTGCCGCAATTCATCCGCGCAAAACAAAGAGCCAAAATTGTTCCACATAAAGCCAAAGATGCCGTCCGAAGCTCGTCCGTCGCGCCTCCGCGTCCGCTCTTCGATGACAAACTCTCCAACAGCGCGTCTTCAACCACTGAGAAGTCAGAGGGGGCCCCCAGTGGAAAATGGCGCCGGTCCCTTTGCCTCAGTTTCCCACTCATTCTCCACCTCCCCCGCGCCGGCACAATCCATTTA